TCGTTGTCTCCGTGAAATTCCATGCGTTAAATGAAGGGGGCACACCGGTAGTTCCTATCACGGAGGCTATTATGCTGAAGGGAGGAGGACGCAGGCGTATATGCTGAAGAATTAAAGAGGAATCCATCCCAAGTAATGACTTCCGATAACTGAAAATGCGTCGTAACCGGGGCTGAAGGTGCGCAGGGACGTGGGCTTAATTCACGGAGAAGAAGGTGGAACGATAATGCCCAGAGTGGTAAAGTTCTTTTTTACCCTTGCTACGGTTTAGATGGGAAGTGGCAGATAAAGTGGATCCAACGGTTGATATTTATTCTTATTTCTTTCATTAGATCTTTTTCTTATATATATATATATATATATATATATATATATATATATATATATATATATATATATATATATATATATATATACACACAAACACACACACACACACACATATATAAATACATACATACATACATATATATATATATATATATATATATATATATATATTAGGAGAATATTTAGTTATTTTATTCGGATAAAAGCAGTTGTTACATCACATAAAATTGCCCCCCTAACATTACGGGGTAAAGTACTGAAATGAGAGTAGTAAGTATATGAGCAAAACTTAAGTGCATGTTGGGCTAGGTTGTGGGCAGCTGTGTTTTCTTCTCTGTAAATGTGGCAAACTTGTCCGCCTGATGTTGCTATAATAGCTCTGACCGTGGTGCAGTCAGCATTTTCATTATGTGGATCTTGAATTTTTTGTACGCAGTGTTTGGAGTCAATGCGTAAGTTAATAGGTGTGTTGAGGTGTGTTGTGCATCTTACCCCAAATAATGCCGCTTGTAGTTCTCCATCCCCTGGCGACCTTATGCCCTCCAGTCTCGTTGTCCAGGCGCCTAAGAAATCTCCTTTTCTAGTTCTAATGATTGCCGCTCCAGTTGCTGTTGTGCTTCCAATGGCTACGTCTGTGGAAATCACGATTCCTCTTGTCGGCGGTTCCCAGTTGAAGATCTTAATTGCCGGGGGGGTTGTTGTGGGGAGCTTGATTCCAAATCTAAAAATTTTGCTTTTTGATATGCTTGCAATCCATTCATACATTTTGTTGGTGATATGGGAGATCATTTGGGTTTCAGTTTTCTCTTCATTCTGGAAAAATCGTCTATTCCGCTCCTTCCAAAGCTCGTGTGCAATGATGCCGGGTACGAT